AAATTATTTATTTCATTAAATTTAATATATAATTTAACATTTTTTCTTTTTCCATTTAAATGTAGTTTTCTTTTATTTATAAGTTTATTCTTTGAGCTCATGACACGCTTCGAGTGACGCCCATCATTTGCATAGTGAAACAGAAAAATAACGAGCAAATGTAAAAAGGAAACACAGTGAGAAGACACACACACTCCGTGTCCTCGTTCAGCCACTGCTGCTCTGACACAGGTAAACCTCACCTGAGACAAACGCACAAACACAAGATAGATAAAAGCAATAGAAAATACTATTGAAAAAAGTTTATACATAATAAAAAACGAGTAAAAAAATAACAAGTTTCATAAAGAACCTTAAAATATTAGTAATAATATTTCTTATATTTGATAGATTTATTCAAAAACAAGTTTTTCAAAATTAAATTAAATTAAAAATACTGCATAAATGATTAAATTTAACATAAATATCATTTTAAAATAAAATATTTACTTTTTTTATATTTACTGGAATCTTTGTTCACTTACTGAGTTTTTAACTTTTAGCATTTTTGTTTAATTTTAAACTCATGATTTTTAAGTTGGCAGTTTTGGTCCTCCATACTCGCTGGAGGTAAACAAAGAAAAAAGCGACTTTTGTTTGTTTTCACACGTTAACGTGAGCAGTGTCTCTCACCAGATGACAGTCTGAGAAAACACAAACACACAAATTACCAAAACACATACAGCGCGCACACAAAAGTAGACAACAATCAGAAACTGCCCTCTGGTTACCCTGCAGCCTGACCTTACACACACACACACACACACACACACACACACACACACACACACACACACACACACACACAGCTTTTCCTGACAGTAACAATAAAACACTGACAAAGTGTCTGAGCATGCTGGGTGTGTGTGTGTGTGTGTGTGTGTGTGTGTGTGTGTGTGTATAAAGTAGGGCAGAGGATATGGAGTTCCAAACATGCCAGACTGTAGGCTGAGGCCTTTGTTCTGGAGTTCCCACGGTAACCGAGGAGGGTAAAGTGAGAGGGGAGGAGGGGGAGGGGGGCTGCTTGCGTTACTGCAGAAGAATTAAAACTTCTGCCACCGCAGCCTCACACTTCAGAGGCGTCACGCTCTCCCACCGGCTGTTTACAGGTCGTGACCTTTGAAACTAGGCTGAGGGCCAAACTTAGGATGGACTCTAGACCTCAGACCACGTAAAACATTAATAAAGCCGATGTGATCACATCTCACACAGGAAACTCCACAGCAGCACAAACACAGTCCAGAGGTTCAGTTAGCAGCTACCTGTCAGAGGCCACGCCCCTAACAATGCAGGTGAGTTACAGAAACGCGCTCTCCTGTACATAATAAACAGTTTGTGTACATGTTTCTCATAAAAACAGAGCAGAGCTGATTCAGCTCCTGAT